CTAAGAGAAAACAGTTGGGTTCTACTGCTGTGATTTTAAGATTTCCAGGAAAATTTCTGGTAAATTCATATCAATCTCTTAGAATTTTTGGCTGAAGAGACGGTTTTTTTTGTTGTATTTCTAACTCTATATAAACCCGATTTAAAATTTTATTTTTTCCCAGTTTTTCATAATTATTGTAATACTGTTGCTCGTTCAATCCATTGATACCTACAGAGCCAAAAATATATCGATATGATTAGAGGAAGATTTCTTTTATTGATTGCGATTTCGATCGAGCAGTAAACGGTTCTGAGCGGTTTAAGTTTCAGGCAGATTCTGCATGTTATTTTTTAAGTTTTCAGAGTACTTTGTTTCGTTAAAACACTCTCAAATGTATTTTTACACAAAAAAGGTAATTTTGGTGGAATTTCTAGGATCTACTTCAATCTAGGCGATACGAAAATCGACAAGTTCAACCGAGCATTTGAATTTTTGAAAACCATGCGATTCAGAACCCCCTATTTTCCCCTTCTTCTCATGATCAAACTGTTGAGTAACGACCCCTCAACAGAAAAGTCGTATTAACCTTGTAGTAATATCGAGAGGTTTGTCTTCGAAAAAAGTCTGCTGACTTAACTTTCAAAAATAACAATGCGAAAATGATTAATTTCTCTTTAAAGGTTTCAAGACGTCTTTAGCACCAAAATTTATCGCATAAAATATATTTCCTTGTTTAGCTCGAATGTAAACGGTCCGGTAATTTCTTTTATCCCTCCCATAATACGCACGGAACGCTCAGCATTAATGCTGCTTCGCGTTGTTGAAACCGCGCATGTACCTAAAAGTCTTCAATGCAGTTACGCTTTAACTTAGCGACGCAAAGGATAAAGCCCATTATTCAATACGGGAAATTCTGTAAGCGTTAACTCTATAATATTCTTCGTGTAAGTCGAATAATGTATTTATTCACGTATACGCATAATGATGAGGAGATAGCAGAAACCGCGGTGTCCGCGATAAACTTCACAATGAAAGTACGCTTGAAGTGCATGATCCATTGTTCGCCTTTAAGGCAATCTGGCAACTGCGTCGGCACTGATAAGGTCAAAGCTTTGCGTTGGAGGCTCTTGTAATTTTACCGTAAATTAATGATATTAAAAGCTAGGCTAAGCCAAGCAATTCATAAATTAGGTTCTACCGATGTCATGGAAATTATCTTTCTCCAGATTGGATTGCGTCGTGTCGGTGTGAAAGTGACAAATAAAAATTTTGCAAACTTTTGCTTGTCTATTTTTCACTTTCGGCTTACCCGTGCTTCGCCTACATTCAATGCACTACATTACGCGCTTTCTAACGAATATTCCATGCAGTTGTACATACGTATGTATAAGTCGCTTTTACGGCGCGCTAGGGCACTCTGCAACGCCTACCAGAGACCGCACTGCGTTTAGCGCAATGCGTGAAGTATTCCTGCAGTCTTGTAGGCGTTATGCGTTTCGGGCTGACTGACGACTGCACGGTAATTGGCGCAATGCGTGAAGTATTCCTGCAGTCTTGTAGGCGCTAATATACGTTTTGCGGCGACCGGCGAGTGGCGTCGCACTACGTTTGACGAGATTAGAAACGATGATACAGCATTAGCTTTGAAAGAAACTGTAGAAACAGAGAAGAGATAATAAGTTTGGGGGATGGCTGGGTAAAATTGATAAAGAGACGTGCAGAGTAAAGAAACAAAATATTCGAATAAAGAGCTTATTGAAAATTAAATGAAATAAAAAGCAGAAGCAAATGCGAGTAAATTTTCACCAATGGCGTGGCGTTCATTGCGATTTATTGATTGATCTTTCATTTATGTGTATGTGTAGTATAAGTTGCTTTTATGGAGCGTTAGGGCGCTCTGCGACGCCTACCAGCCACAGGAATCTGTATTGGTAGAGATCCTGCGGAAGCTAGCATTCTTCTACCTCTTTACGGATGCCCCATACCCACAGTTTGCCTGGACGCCCTCGTTGCCTACCTGGAGGGACCCACTGCGACACCTTCTTCAGCAACCTGCGATCAGCCATCCTCTGCACATGCCCATACCATACCAACTCCTCGGTCATGATATCGAACACAAATTGTCCCCTTAACGCCCATTATCACCTGGGCTCGTTGCAACTCCGTGCAATTTATTTTTAATATCTCCTAATTATTAGTGATGAATTAATGCCGAAGCGAATAACTGTAGGGAGCCGAAATACATCACTGGCGTTGGGTGTCTTGCGATGGATCGATTCATTTGCCATTTAAACCTATGGTATAGCATCGATAAACAGGGTGTTCCTTGATAATCGATCTTTTACCTCAGTTTCTCGAAAAAAAATCGATAACTTATTATTCATTGTTGAGTTCGCCTTCAGTAACCGTGATGGCAATATCAGCGGCTTGGGAGCAAGAACAGTTCCGCGCAGTAGTTAGGTCACTTTCGCTCTGTCCTGACACGGAATTGAATGCATTGGAGCTGTATTGCCGTGCTAAGAAAAAACGACATATGAACATTATAATATTGTCATCTCTTCCTCGATTAATTGTGTATTTTTGAAGGAAGTTATGAATACTTTCTCTTGAAATTTTCAGATAACTCTGAAAAAATTGCAATTAAAAATATCTAAAATATTGGAAGGAAACTATTCACAAGTTTCCCCATCAAATGCGTGGTTCATTGAGGTAAATTGGCAACATCTAAGAGCTCATACGGTTTCCTTAGCATAGCAGTATATATCTGTGGATTCACTTTAGATGGATTGCATTTTGCAAAAAGGAATTAGGAGCATTGCAAAGTTGCTCTGATTGTACAACTTCTTTCGTCTCTGAGGAATAGCCTGATTATCCGTTAACAGATTCCATTTTGCTAGCTAAAAGCTAAAATTTTGACAAAAATTACCATATAAATCTCATATTTTTCATGATTTCAGTTATTTTTATTGCAAAGGATGAGGTTGCACAATCTTAGCATCATCGCAATGCTTCTGGTTCCTTTAGTCCAGGCGCCTGGTAGCTAAAAATGAGGCNTGATTGTACAACTTCTTTCGTCTCTGAGGAATAGCCTGATTATCCGTTAACAGATTCCATTTTGCTAGCTAAAAGCTAAAATTTTGACAAAAATTACCATATAAATCTCATATTTTTCATGATTTCAGTTATTTTTATTGCAAAGGATGAGGTTGCACAATCTTAGCATCATCGCAATGCTTCTGGTTCCTTTACGTAGGCGTAGCTAGGTCATTTTGCTGGGGAGGGGGGGGGGCTGGTCCTCCCAGCAAAATTTTAACTCTATTTGAGCGTATTTCGAGGCACTTTTGGCGCTAATCTTCCTTCAATTTCTGCCTAAAAATCAACCAGTTTTATGCATTTTAAGGTTAAAATACTTTAAAATTGTTGCATTCAACAGGTTATACTATATAGAGGCATATGTTAGGCATGGTTGACTAACATACTGAATACATACTAACATACTACATGTTTACTAATTGCCGAAATATTTACTTTCTATTTGTGACGCATAAAAAATGCAAATATTAAAAGGTAAAGAAGGAAAAGAAAACACTGTTTGTAATGCTTTTTTTGATGGTATCAGCTTCCTGCGTGCAGTAAAATGAGTAAACTAACAATGTGCTGCGTTCATTTAGGTCACGCATCTAAACTAACCTCCCGGAGAAACGAGAAGTATAGCCAGATGAAGGCGTTCAAAGCGTTTGGTTGGGTCACGCAACTAAACTAACCTCCCGGCAAAGCGGGAGGTATCGCCTGATTTGAAGGCGTTCTATGCGTTCGGTTGGGTCACGCAACTAAACTACCCTTCCGATAAAGCGGGAAGTATAGCCAGCATTTGAAGGCTCTCCCGGCGTTCAAAAACCAACAGTTCACTAAGCGTTCGCTAAAACTTGCCAAGTTCCAAAAGATTTTCAGGCAGAATTAACATTTATTTCAGTCATCTAAGATTAAGCAGACGACTACGATGTGAGCCTTATAAATGCATTCTATATTTTGCACCAAGGAACTAAAAGTTCTGGCTCATCCAAAAAAAGCACCTATCTGCAACTATCTACCCCCTCTGCAAGAGACTAATCATAGGCGTGGCTGGATCATTTTGCTGGGGGGCCTGGGGGATATGGATTATCCTCCAGCCCAATGGGGGGTCCGGGGAAAATTTTTGAAATTTTAACTCTATTTGAGCGCATTTCGAGGCACTTGTGGCGCTAATCTTCCTACAATTTCCGCCTAAAAATCACCCAGTATTATGCATTTTAAGGTTAAAATACTTTGAAATTGTTGCATTCAACAGGTTATTCTATTTATATGCATCCTCTCACGGGCCATGGCGACAGAGACTTACTGTTGAAGAAGGTGTTTTTGCACCATCCAGAATTTCTGGGGGGGGGGGCAGATGATACCATTTCCANGCCGACGCTTGCGCAGTTCCTCGCGTAATTCGAGGAGAGTTCAAGGTCAATTAAGGCGGGCGAGGAAAATATGAACGTAAACACGCCGATTGTTATATGGTTGAATCCTGTTCAGGTGTTATCTCGTCCCATCACACGTGTTTTGGCGGACTGGCGTCGACCATGATGAGTATTGTCGCCAATGGAACGACTCCTCTAACAAAATGTTCACCTGTACCGTAGTATCGTTTTCGAAGCGGGAAGCTCAAAAAACCGCAAATTTCTTACGCAGATTGTGAAGTTATGAGTGCATTTCAGACTTTGCCGATGCGCTCATCGTGATTTTTGAGGCATTATCTGCAGGAAACAACTCTTAGTTTTGCTCTAGGAAAAGTTTGCAACAGGCCCATTGGATTACATTTTTCAATAAGGAACCACTATCTCTGGCTCATCCATAAAAGCACCTTTCTGCGAAGGGAAAGCAATGGCATGTGTGTTGTTTCTAAAATGAGCCCTAGATAGTGGTTCCATATTGCAAAATTTGGTCCAAATTTCAATACGTACTCTTATGTTGCTGTTTGTATGGTGTTGCAGGTATGAATACGCATTCAGCGAGGCGTTTTGCGTGCTGCAGGGCTACGCAGCGGAGACCTCTGCCAACGCCACGGTACTGACCATCACGGCGTTCACTATGGAGCGGTACGTGGCCATCTGCCACCCCTTCCTCACGCACACCGTGTCGAAACTTTCCAGAGCCATTTCCTTCATCATCGGCATCTGGCTCCTGGCCCTATGTCTCGCCGTCCCACAGGTTTGTTTGCTTTTCTCTTATCCTGCCGCACTAGGAAAAAAACGCCCGGTCAGCCTTCAGACGTTGCAAAATTTCTTCTGACGAATCACAAATTTGCCAGAATATTTATAAATATTTTTCACTCAATTTTTAAGAGAATTGTTCGTAATTTAATCTCAAACATTTGAAAATTTTAAGGAAAATAATGCTTAACTTTTCTCCAAAAATCGCTCTTTTCTGAGAAGAAATTTGGCAACGCCTGAAGGTGTATACGGCGTTTTACCTCAGCACGGCAGTGTTACTGTTCCTTGTGCAAATGGGGCGCTCTCTTGCAATGAAAAAACAAGTTCGGCCATGAATCGAAAGTACGGTGTTCAGTGTTGGCCGTATTTTTCGATTCAATTGCTCCGTTGGTTTTAGGATCGCAGACTCGGTTCATTGAACGAGCTTTTCCTATAGTTCAGCTTGGTTTGAAACGTCGCACAGTGGCTAGATTCAATAGGAGAGGTCGGGCAAAATTTGGAAACCTTAAACGCTCATAACTCCGTTTATACAAAACTTTGAGGTTCTAAAAGTGGTTCCATTGGTTTCCTCGTGGAATTTTCTGCTAAGAGCATCCCTTAAAATTTAAAATGTGACGAATTAAACATCAAAATTTGCCGTTTTCGTAAAAAAAATAATGTCCGACCTCTCTAATTGACTTGATCCACTGTGCGTCGGTTGCATGAATCGAGGAAACCCGTCCTAGATGTGAGAGAGCGGTCACACGAATTGATCAGTACGTCCGATATTGAACTCCACCTTGTCGATGCATTTATAACAGATTTTTTGTTATCTCAGTATGGGCGTTCATGATATTGATTTGACCCACAGGTGAAAAATTTTAATTCTTTTGCGGAAGAAATATTTTCAAATTTACATTCGTTCATATTTCCTGAACTAAAGTAGCGCAGAGCATTTTCTCAGGAGAAAGGGAAAATTATTAGATTTGCAAATAGACTGAAAACCGAGGAAGTTTCATCTGTGCGCTCTCCTTTCTTCGGCAGAACTCCACTCGACTGGAACTCGGCTCTTTACAAAATGTGATGAAAGAAGCAATTTATTTAATCTAAGTTGTTGTTCCCTTCGCTCTCATAGAAATTATTTTTTCAAGGGGACACCACGGTCATGTCGTAATAATCGACTTATTCACCGAGTGTTATGCAGACTATATATTTTATTCGATACTAAAGTTTACGAGAAAGTCATAGTGGAGGTTGTAAATTTGTTAAGAGGAATCAAAGGAGAAATAATTCAATTTAACATCCAATCATTCAAAGCTTCGTTCGAATGTTATCTTAGAATTTTCAGTTTAGAAAGAATCCGATTGATGGCAAAAAAATAGCCATAGCAGTGTGCTCTGTGTTTTTGTGCTGTTCCTTGATGATTTCGTCCGTACAACACTCTTAGGCGGATCGAGGCGCTTCGAACGAGGCGTGAGAGAGGGGGAGGGTGTGGAATAAAGCATTTAACCTGCAGTTTGAGTCAATTACCTCAGGGATTATTACCAAATAAAAGCGTCCTTCCTTTTTCTTTTCATTCCAGCTCTTTTTCTTGCATTTTTTTCTTCTCTTTTTCCGTCAAAAGGTAGGGGCGCACGTCTCCTACGCCCCCTTTTGGATCCGCCTTTAGCGACACGAGCTTTGAAAATCCCTGATCGGCTCTGGATTGATAGTTTACGTTGTATTGACAAACACCGTTAGCGCGCCTTCAATTTCGTATGATACTGTGCAACACCTCTATTGGGAAATGGTTGCTTGAAGCGCACACTCGGCGAGCGCAAAACGCGCCTACAAACCTACATGAATACTTCAAGCTTTGCGCAATGCGTGAAGTATCTCGTTAGGTTTGTAGGCGTCAATGCGCGTGTCGCGCTGGCAGCACGTCGCGTCGCTCCGCTCTGTGTTGGGCTCTAATATTTAATCTAGCAGATTCACTGCTTTTCAACTCATGATTTTGAAATGTTTGCACACTCCGCATGGATTATTCCTATTTGAATTGATGAAAAAAAAATATATATACTAAAACAGACCCACACAACTACCGTTTTCTGAGCGTATGCGACAAGATAACTTATACCATCTGAAAATACACGCATACTAGCAAAAATTAAAAAAATAGAAAAAATACCGGGTCAAATTTTACACGCACAGCGCGGTTGCCTGTCATGGAGAAAAAAATGGAGAGTTGATTCGAGAAATGTCACATGTGAAGCATGAACACCATTGCTATTACGCCCCTGTTCAAATTAATTAATAACAGAAATTTGCGATGCAAACAAGCGTTGCTCGAAGGGAAAGATTAAGATCAGAAAATTACTCAAGGCCTAGTTAACAGTCCTCTTTTTGAAGTACAAATTGCCGGCCTGTTTGCAAGACACCGCGAGACATTTCCGCGAACGCAATTTTTCATCGAAACGTGAGAGCTTTGTGGCGAGCCCAGTTGGCACCGAAATGCGCAAGATGAGGAAGCGGCTCCATGACGACTATTTTCGATTCGCGCCCCGCTGTCGCGACGGCGTCATGCTGAGCCTTTCTTGAACCGTTAATGATCACGTAATTAATGGTTTCATGAACCGAAGAAACCTCTTAATAAAGTTCCTGGATCTCAACCTCAAAATGCTTGATATTTGTCAGTTTTGGCTCGCTTAAATACATATGTGTTTCGTTTTAAACTTCTGGAGAGAGGTAACGATGCGGATTCAGGTTTCCACTAATTAACGAAGCGCCTTTGACCTTTTGTTTTTCTTTTTTGTCATTTGTTCCTTTCTTCCGAGATCCTGGCTTAAATTTCTAAGATCTATATCGCTGTCGCCGGCAAATAGTAAAATCGGGCATTTTGTCAAATGCCTAGGCAAGTGGTCAAATATTCTAGGTAAGATTGAAATTCTAATTCTTTCCCTAATTTTAAACAAAATAATTAATTGACCCCGTAAGAAAAAAATTTCAGTAATTATGTGCATCCCAAAATAGTATTTCAAGCGATTTTTAGCTCCTGAGTGGACACCTATCTTGACATTTTCAGCACGTCAGAGAATACAGCATTTTTAGAATTTCAACATTTTAAAATAAAAGAAGCAATTTAAGAGGAAGAGACAAAAAGAGTTTGTAGGTTTGATAAGATATTTTTCCATAAATATTGAAAACTCGTGAGCCCTCCGTCATAAATTCACAAAATTTTGTAGACACTCAAAATTTAGCTATCTGCCTAAGCATTTGACAAAATGCCTGATTTCACTATTTGCCTGCGACATCGCCAAGTAAGCGATACGGCCGTATTGTAAAATAGTATGCAAAGTATGCAATACATGTTAAAGAGAATGCCGTATCAGCCTTCAAGCGTTGCCAAATTTCATTGGATAAAACACGAATTTCCTGCTAAACTTATGAATATTTTCCATCAAATTTTTTAGATAATTTTGTTCGCAATTCTGCCTAAAGTTCCTTAAAGTTTCAAGGAAAATATTCATAAATTTCCTCAAAAATAAACATTTCATGGAAGAAAATTTGGCAACTCTCGAATACTCATACGGCGTTCTTCACGAGCACGACAGAATACGTTCCGAGTCTGACCAACGGATAACCACGACCAAAAAAAATAGGTGGGACTTGAAATCCATCATGAGCATTGTAATTGAAACGATTCCTTTTTATTCTTGCACGTCAAAGAATCAGGCTGCGTGAGTGTAAAAGATATTCTCGGCAAGCAACATGGCTTCAAGGGTTTCGAGGGAAGTGTGCCTCCGTTTAATTGTTTGATCCTCTTTCGTTTGAAAACAACCCTTCTCACTACCAGATTTCACTAAACGTGCGTTAAAAGCTAGTGATAGTGAACTCTTGAAAACGTGTTAGTAGAAACCATCTACGTCAGTGCTAATAACAAGGCCACAACGCAAACAAATGCACGAGCGATGTACCTGTCGAGTGTAAGTGGTATTCGTGTTGCCTAAATATCACGGCGCATTAGCCTCCAAGATAACGTGATCAAAGCGGGTTCTTTCTCGCCTCCCCTCCAGTTTTACCCTTTTAACTTTGATTGATGAAAATTAAGTGTCAAGTAAAAGCACCGCCTGGTAGGTATGCAACTGGCTCAGCATCCCGGAAAATGCTGCGATCAGCGTCCCGATTATGGCCTCGCTTTTTTCTAGACTCCAGACAACGCGAACTTGTTAAAAACCATTGCCGTGCAAGTGATGCCGTGACTCGGAGACTTTGTTGCCGAACTGTTTTAAGCATTTTTAAAAATATTTATTTTTGTAACGTTTTAAAATTGTTTTGAAAATTTAAACCTGCTCATTTTTGTAAGCTTTCCTCCCCTGCAGATTACGATCTTTAATTGCCTGGTCCATTTTGTCATCCGATGTTAAGTGCACTTCTAAGTATTTGTCTTGTTATGATTTCTTTTATATATATATGAGTCGCTTTTATAGCGCTCTTTGGCGCTGTGCGACGCCTAATCGCCACAAAGCTCGGTCTTCCCACAGGTCATCAGGGAGTTGACAATCTCTTATCTCATTTAACACCCCCTGTCGCCAACCTCTCACTGGGCGTCCCCTACGTCTCCTCCCAGGAGGAACCCAATCAAGCATCTTTTTTGGCAGCCTCTCTTCCGTCATCCTATTGACATGACCATACCAAACAAGTTGTTTGGTCATGACGTCTAACACGATGTCATTTTCGACTTCCATTATCTGACGCACTCTATCATTACGGACCCGATCTCTCCTAGAAATTCCAGCTGACCTTCTCCAGAAATCCATCTCCGTTGCTCTTAGCATATCCTGTGTCCGTTTCTTCAGCTGCCAAACTTCACATCCGTATGTTAATATACTTTTGACTACAGCGTTGTATATCCTCCTCTTGTTATCTTTGGAAATCCGCTGATCCCAGAGGATTCCATTTAATATCGCTATAGCCTTCCTTGCTAAGGTGTTCCTTTCCCTGATAGCTTGATCCGTCCTTCCATCCTGGGTCAACCGCACT